GTCTTCGTCGTCCACTCTCCTCAAGCTAAACGAAGTTCTTGGTTCTTCTCTATTATTGTACGCTTGTTCCCCCAATCCGTTGTATTCGATCCTTTCAAAGAGTTTTGTCTTTACGACATGAGAAAGATCTAGACACTACTGATCGGTTAGTACTTCCTTTCTCTCTGTCGAATAAACCCAAAAATTCTCAACTTTCTCTTTCGATTTCGTTTACTTACTCCGTTTGCATCTCTCGAATATGTGAAGCTTTTTTTCATGTTTCCTTTTTGGGTTTATGATAATTCTCACCCTAGCACATGATTTCCCAATAAAGCTCTAACCTTTGGTTTGGTCTGATGATAAAAGCTTGATTGTGTTCTTAAATTCGGTTGCTTCAATCTGTTTATGTTTCGTCTGGAGGAAGTTTATGAGCTATGTTCTTATTTTGTTCCTTAAATTTTTAGTCTTTTTAGATTAATGTACATGATTCACTTAGTAGCAGAAGTTAAAGATGGAAGGGAAGAAAAGATTGGATCTTAGATTTCATCACTCAGTATCATCACAATCTTTGGAATCATCTGCATTTGATTTGGATAAAAATGGTCACAACCATTTTAAAACGGCGCCGCTTCAACCGTTTCCATCGGGCGGTCAGCATCCTGAAACCAGTGCTGCTGCTTACTTCTCTTGGCCTACTTCAAGTCGATTGAACGATTCAGCGGAAGACAGAGCAAACTATTTTGCAAATCTTCAGAAAGGTGTTTTGCCTGAGACTTTTGATGGTTTGCCTACAGGAAAAAAAGCTACTACATTGCTCGAGTTGATGATGATTAGAGCGTTCCATAGTAAGAATTTAAGGAGGTTTAGCCTCGGTACAGCTATTGGATTTCGGATTCGACGTGGTATTTTGACAGATATAGCGGCTATTCTTGTCTTTGTTGCTCGGAAAGTTCACAAGCAATGGCTTAATCCTCTTCAGTGTTTACCTACAGCCTTGGAGGTGAGATATCTCTTGTCTATCATTCTTCACTTTCTGCTTACTATAAACTCAAAGTATGTTTACTTTTATAGGGTCCTGGAGGAGTTTGGTGTGACGTAGATGTTGTTGAGTTTCAATATTATGGTGCCCCTGCGCAAACTCCTAAAGAACAGGTGTATACAGAGCTTGTTGATGATCTGAGAGGAAGTGGTTCGTCTATTGGATCTGGTTCACAGGTAACATTTCTGTAGCTTTGTGTACTATTGTTGCATAGATGCTTGTATTATCGACTTTCTTATTACAAAACATCATTCGGCCATGCCTTTCTTCTTGTAGGTGGCTAGCCAAGAGACATATGGAACATTAGGTGCTATTGTAAAGAGTAAAACAGGTATCAGACAGGTTGGTTTCCTAACAAACCGGCATGTTGCAGTTGATTTAGACTACCCGAGCCAGAAGATGTTTCATCCATTGCCACCTAGCCTTGGACCTGGAGTCTACTTGGGTGCAGTGGAAAGAGCTACATCATTCATCACCGACGACCTTTGGTATGGCATTTTCGCTGGAACTAACCCAGGTAGTCCGGTAGCAGTGTATATAATAACCTTTGATGGCGTTGTCTAATAGCGTAGCACATTTTTCATTATCATATTTTTATTTATTTTCTGCAGAAACATTTGTTCGAGCCGATGGAGCCTTCATTCCATTCGCTGAGGACTTCAATATGAACAATGTAACCACAACTGTCAAAGGGATTGGTGAAATTGGTGATATCCATGTTACTGATTTGCAGTCTCCAATTAACAGTCTCATAGGAAGAAAGGTGGTTAAAGTTGGGAGAAGCTCTGGTTTGACCACAGGGACCATAATGGCTTACGCATTGGAATACAATGACGAGAAAGGGATATGTTTCCTAACCGATTTTCTTGTTGTTGGTGAAAACCAACAGACTTTTGATCTTGAGGGTGATAGTGGAAGCCTTATTCTCTTGGCTGCGGGTGATGGGAAGAATGAGAAACCGCGACCTGTTGGAATTATTTGGGGTGGAACAGCTAACCGGGGACGGTTGAAGCTAAAAGTGGGGGAACAACCTGAGAATTGGACAAGTGGAGTTGATCTTGGCAGAGTTCTTAACCTTCTTGAGCTTGATCTCATCACTTCCAATGAAGGTCTTCAAGGTCTGTGTGATCTCTTCAGGTTCTTTTTTTGGTACTTTTAGTATACATTGTTTCCTTGAATATATATTTTGTTCAGTGCAGCTGCTGTGCAAGAACAGAGACACGGTATTATGTGTACAGCAGTTGATTCAATGGTCGTGGAATCATCTCCCGGCGTGTGCAAGCCGTCAAGGTGTAAAACGGGTGAGAACTTTGAGCCTATTAACTTGAATGTTCAGCAAGTTCTCCAAGAAGAAGACAACTCAAATATTCATCCAGAGTTCCAAATAGAAGATGTGTTGGAATCAGCGGCTGTGATCGAAGAACATCAGTTCATTCCAAGTTCAAGCAACAACAGATCCCCACTTCATCAGAAAACCAACGGGAAAGAGAATCTTGAATCCAAGAACCTGTCTTCTCTAAAGGCTAGTGACTCGGGTGATGAGATTGGATTTTCTTTGCAGTTAGGTGAGTCAGATGCAAAGAAAAGAAAGCGAACTGATTCACCGGATGGTCCTCAAGAATCTTGAAAGGCGAAGGTTATGCTTGCTCTCACAGTTTCACTCGTGAGACGTCATAACACACCACATATTCAACAGTAACATCACTATTCTTTTTCCTCTGCATTTTTCTCCAGAGGAAAAATATTCAGAGTAGCATATTTGTAATGGCTAATGTCAAGGATAGTCAAAAGTTATGAGCAAATATGTATTGGTGGATTATGAACACCTATAATTTTGTTGTACCTCAAGAACATCTTGAAGCATAAGCAGTTGCAATGAAGCATCCCAAATCTCATAAATCTTGTTATATTATTGACACCATACATTGAATTTTAGGCCGTAAATACGAAGAAGACTCTTACTCGATTAACCAAACCGAACTGTACTAATCTTTGTTGCTACTTGCTAGTCGGTAGATACATTTGGCCAACCTTGGTCAGCCTGAAACTTTACAAATTCAGACAGAAGCTTGATTTCTTCATCCTGCAAACGCGGTCCAAAGGTACATTGTCCTCTCGGCGTGCATTTCTCGCCAAATCCCTGAAGTAAGTAAATCATCAGACATGTATCGCTTCAAATTCTGGTTTTATACAAGAAAGTTCTTGAAGGAGATCTAACCGGCATTCTTCCCTTTCCGTAGTAGGTAACACGGAAAATCTCTTCCTCAGTGTCAACTCCATTTCTGTAAAGGTGAAAACCATTGCAAATCTTAAGAGACAAAGATCTGTAGTAACCGATTTTCCCTGCCAGAATCTGATAGATGCACACAAGACATCTCTTTGAAAGTAGAACATTGACTATTTTTACCTTTGGAGGTCACTTGTGAAAAGCGTTGCGCCCTGGAAAGAGAAAGGATGTGTGAGCTAATTGACACTAAAAGGAAATGAAAGATGACACGAGAAGAGATCATTGAGTTTTCATTAAAGTGGTGAACTCTCACTGGTTGAATAATGTTTCCACCTGTATCGTGACACCCGATACAAGCTCTATTAAACAATGTTGCTCCTCTTTGTATATCCAAAGTTTGCCCAAGAGATTCTACACCACAATACAACCCACAAAAGCAAGAAACCTTCAAGAACACAATTCAAAACTCTCATTCTCTTAATATTCACTTGATTCCAATCTGCGCGCTCAACGATACATCCAGATTCAGACTAAAATACAGATTCCATAAAAGTAGTTTCAACAAGAAAACATTCTTGAATGAAACAAACAAATCAGACAGGTTTTTTCTCCAAATCCTCTTCAATTCCAAAAGCAGAGACCTTAAAAAACACTAAACATTCGAATTCGTTAAAGAGAAGAGTTATTCTGCAATGTCTAAACCAAAATGAAAAGACACTAGAAAAATGGAGTCTTTTGGGTCAGAGGAAATTAGTGTTACCTGGTGGGTAACAGATCGGAGACACCGCGAGTATAACAGCCGTGAGCGGCGGAGCTAACTTCTTAATCAGAAATTCGAAATCTTTATGCTTTACAGGAATTGGGAATTTCCAGTCTCTTTCTCTTGCATTGCCCTTTCGAACAATATGATCTCATCGTCATGAATTTAACCATATCAACCAAAATGT